TCCTATGAGTCACCTGAAAGCATTTGGAATGCTCCCTAACACAGACTGCTCTAGGTGAATTAACCCAAGCTAATTAAAACTGCTCCCCATCTCAGTTCTGCTAGGCTCAGTAGTGCTTAGGGTGCAGCACTGTTCCCTTCAATCCCCCTGGGGACAACACACGGTGCCCAGCTGGACCTGAGCAGGGAGCAGAACACAGTCAGTGCCCAGGATCCCCTAGCAATGATCCTTTCCACTCCCAGGAGAGCTGCCTGTCTCTGCAGCCTCACTTTTCCCCCCTGGGCTTTTCCCCTGGTTTTGGTTCTGGTTTTCTGTGCGGTTTTTGCAGGCAGCAGCTCAGGATGTGGGAACTCCACATGCAGCACTCTTTGCTGCTCACTGCTTTGGGGAGCGCTCCCTGCCTGTCAGGTGAAGCTGAAAACAAGCCAAACCCCAAATATTTGGCTCGAGGCTCCTGTTTTTCTTCCCCGGCGCCTCTGTCTGCGTGGGTCAGTCCTGCCAGCCCCATTCAGGGTCGGTTGTGGAGCCGTGAGCTGGATGCGAGTCCCCCCAGCAGGGCAGCGCTTGGTGAGGTGAGGCAGAGGTGCTTTTAATGACAGCCTGCTGTCCCTCCTTAGGTGTGAAGGGGGTCGCCGTCCCTCCGCTGCTGTGCGGCCCCGAGTCCACCCTGCAGGCTGGAGAGGCTGCCAAGGCCAAGAAGAGGAAAAAGGAGCTAACGGCCGGTGAGTGCCGTGTTGGGCAGGGATGGGCGCTGAGGCATCAGCACAGCGTGTGCCCCAACCTGCCCTCCTTTCCCCAGGGCCTCTCCTGGCTCAGGACACGGCCGGCCTAAGGAGAAGCAGCCTGAAGAAGCCCACGGTTGCTGCCTCGCTGAAAAGGCAAGGTAGGGCTCGGCTCCACGCTCTGTGTTCTTTGGTGCTGGTGGTGCTGATGTCCAGAGCTATCCATCCCAGGTGGAAATGGGGCAAAGTTGGGTTTTTTAGGGATGAATACTTGTCGAGAAAGAACTTCGGGGCTCTGGCTGCCCCCCTGGCTCTGTGCTGCAGGGAAAGGAGACGCAAACTGCCATGGCAGCGTCCTCCTCAAGGGATTCTCCTTGGCATGTGTGTCCTAACTGTTATCTCTGAGCATTCACAGGCGTGTGCTGGACAGAAGGGTCAGTATGGCACTGCAAAATCCTTTGGGTGAAAAACCCAAATCCAGACGGCTGGAGCTGACGTCTCTCCCCTTCGCCTCACAGGTTGTAACCAACTTCTGGACGAGTCACAAGTTACCCTGTCCTTCCAAGACTGGCTGGCCAGCGTCACTGAGCGCATCCATCAGACCATGCATTACCAGTTTGAGGGTAAGCTGGGCTTTGGGAGTGTGGTGGGAGCCTCCTTCCAGCTCCTGACCGTGAAATAACTTCGCCCAGAGGGAGGCACCTGCTTTGCTCAGCTCAGAGCGAATGTTGTTTATGTTGTTTTTACCCGTTGGCTTTGCTTTGTTCCCCAATCGCGGCATTAGCTTCACAAAAGCCCGGTGTTTATTGCTGAGGGAAGGGAGAAACTCCCTTAGAGGTTATTTATTCTCCAAGAACCCGCCCAGAGCCAGGCAGAAGAGGTGACGTGAGGTGAGGTGAGGTGAGGTGCCTCAGGTGGCATCTGAGAAATGCTCCCTCACCAGTCTGGAGGTGCTGCTGTCCCCCACGTGCCCTCAGGGCAGAGCTCTGCACAGCTATGGCTGATGGCTGTTTCTGCATCCCCTGTGGCACGCAGCTCAGCCACGGAGCACAGCAGAGCTGTGAAAATCCTCACCGTGGGGCTGTGCTGCATAAGGCTCCCAAGCTGCCGCAAGCTGCTCACGCCTGGCCTGTGCACGGATCCAGCTGGGCCCTCCTGAAGAGGACAAACACATTTCGGGGGTCTCTTTCCAAACCCTGTCAGAGCAACGTCAGTTTGTCAGTGAGGACACACTCTGCTCTCTGGCAGATGTCTGAGGTGTCAGGCAAAGGAGTTCAGCGATGCCCTTGGCCTCCAGTGAGCTGCTCCCCCACTGAAAGAAACCCATTTCTGCTGCCCTGTGGTGCTCCTCCAGACAAAACAGAGCCCCCCGAGGGGGGAGAAGGGATGGCAGCAGCTGGCAGACAGAGCCAGGGCTGCTCAGCCTGGGGAAGTGATGCCCGGAGGTGGAGGGAATGAACCTGACGGCACCAGGCTGTGCCCAGCATTGCCCACAGCTGGGCCAAGCCCACAACACAAGAAAGTAAATGTAAAACACATCACTGGCAGTGGAACTCCAGCACTGCTGTTCCAGCCAGATGCTGGTCTCCACCTGAACACGCACTTCTTTCCAACCTTTTATTTGCCTGCAAGCAGCAGTGCCTCTCTTGCCCTGAGCCCTGCCCTCTCTGTGACCATGCAGGCAAGCCCGAGCCGCTGGTGTTCCACATCCCACAGGCTTTCTTTGATGCGCTGCAGCAGAGGATATCCAGTGGGAGTACAAAGAAGAGGTTGCCCAACTCCACTACAGGTAGGAAACACTGCAAGCACTCTGCATCCCACCTGAGGCAAGGAAAAGCCAGCAGGAAGCTGACACCCCCCTTGTTTCTAGCAGCCTTAGGGGCAGAAGGCTCCGCTAAGCAGGAGCCACAGCCTGTGCTCCCAGGGGGGCTGTAACAGCTCCAGCCTCAGTGCAGCCTGGCTGCAGGCTCAGCACTCGGCCACTGGCAGCAGCTGTGTAACAGTTTGACTGGCTGGAAGAACGAAGGCAGCGGAGACTCAGAGCAAACAGCGCCTTCCCTGCAGCTTCTGCTCAGTTCTGCTGCTGCTTTTGAGCCACACGGATTGCAGAGCACTTGATCTGAAGTGTTTCTCTCCGCTGCTTTACACTTCACACTGATGTAAGACAGTGCTTGAGCAGCCACGCAGAGCTCTCGGCACAATTACCTGAAGTTCCGACTTCAGGAGCACCACTGGGCCCCCAGCTGAGCATAAAGAGCCCGCAGACTCTGAGCAGCCCCCGAGTGCCAAGCCAGCTTTACCTCCTCATTGTGCTCTTAACTGAGAGCAGGAGGAGAGTCCAGAGCACAGCGCAAAGCAGCAGACTGAAGGCTCGCCTCCCAGCCAAGGCCAAGCGCCCTCCCTGCAGCCCAGAAGGAAAAAGAAGTGAGGAAAAGCAAGTTGCATCACCAGCCTCGCTCCTCCCCCCCACCTTTAACTGCGCTTTCCTTCCCCACAGCGTTTGTCCGCAAAGACGCCCTTCCCCTGGGGACCTTCTCCAAATACACGTGGCACATCACCAACATCCTGCAGGTCAAGCAGATCTTCGATACGCCCGAGGTAAGGGGGAATCACAACCCCACCCTGCTCTGCCTACCGTTACCGAGCCCTTCACCCCGCTGCTTCCCAGCAGCTGCCTCTGGAAATCACACGAAGCTTCATCCAGAACCGGGACGGCACCTATGAGCTCTTCAGGTGCCCCAAGGTGGAGGTGGAGAGCATCGCTGAGGCGTACGGGCGCCTGGAGAAGCAGCCGGCCATCCGCCCGCTGGAGCTCAAGACCTTCCTCAAAGTGGGTAAGCGAGGGAGGGAATTCTCCTCTCAGCCCATCTGGGGGTTGATTCCTCCCCCTGCGCTGCCAGGGCAGCCCTTGAGATGTCTGCACAAATGTTGGAGGAAGATACGGGCTGGATGTGCACCTCCCTGCCTGGGGAGTGGGGCTCCACCAAGCAGCATCAACACCACGGAGCCCCCCAAGCACTAAAGGAATGCTTCCAGACCCCACCCAGGAGACAGACACCCTCTCCAGGAGGGGTTCTCCCCTTCACAGCCCCACACCAAGGGGTCCTACCATAGCTGGGGGTCTCCCCCTCACGCCCTCACGCAGGGGGAGCTGTTCCCATAAGGGGCTCTGCCCCAGACCTGCACCCAGAGCAGTGTCCCCCAGTAGGTGGCCCTCCCCCTCCACCACTCAACTACACAGGCACAGATGGAGCCCACCCCCCCACCATCTCTGAGACGACTTCTGTCACCTTCTCCACCCCCCTCCCACAAAAAGCAGCCGCAGAACGACGTTTTCCCAGTCCCCAGGTTCACCTTCACAACTCCAGATGCCCGCTACGCACACCTACATGCCCCAAAAACACAACCCCTGCACCAGCAGCCCCAAGAACCCCCCCACCACCACCGAGGTAAAGCCCAGGGCCCCCCACTCACCCTCTTCTCCCCCCTCCCCTGTAGGAAACACCTCTCCCACCCAGAAGGAGCCCACGCCGTTCATCATTGAGTGGATCCCCAACATCCTACCTCACTCCCACATCGGAGAGCTGCGCATCAAGTTTGAGTACGGGCACCAGGGTGGCCGTCAGCCCCCCACCTCCTTCTCCACCCAACAGCCACCAGCACTGGAGCCCACCTTGGAACTCGCTCCACTCACCACCATCACCTTCCCCTGAGCTCCAGGGCTGCACTCCAGAACTGCCAGCACGGCCACGTCAGCCAGAAAGAGAGAAAGAAACCAAGCACAAAGCTGCTGCCGCACCTGGAAAAAATAAAAAGTGCTGCTCACCAGGTGCACGCTGCTCCTCTCTGCACCCAGGAAAGCAAGCTGGGAAGGGCGAGGGGGCTGCACCCCTGCTGCAGTGCACACTCGCAGCCAGGGAAGCCCCAGCTTCAGCCCAGAGCTAGGGGAGGGGGAAACCAGCACAGAGCAAGGACCTGGGGGGAGCAGAGAGCAGGGCTGGGGGTCCTGCCGCCTCCGGGGGACAACTGCCAGCATTTACCTGAACTTCAGCCTCTCCTTGCTGGCATCCTGCAGCAGAACCCAGCTGCATCTTCCCCACGGATGGAGGAGGGCATGGCCGGCCTCGTTCCCTCCCTCAGGTTGATGCACCTGGACTTGGGGGGGGGAGAGAGCAGCCCAGGACCCCAATTCCTGCAGGCAGGGGCTGCAAGCACTGCACCCCCAGCAGCAGCGCCCCGCCGCATCCCAGCCCTCCTCCCGACAGCAGCACACGGCCATTCGTACTGAAATAATTTATTTTCTAACAATCCAACAATACAGAAGTAGACACACACACGGCCAGCTCTGCCTAAAACACGTACTCTAAAAAAAAAAAACCAAACGCGTGTGCTAAAACCTGTAAGAAAAAAAAAAAAACAAAACAAAAAGAAGCACCATTTTATGGTCTTGACACAGGATTCGTAGTGACATGCTATGTACAACGGGAATTGAACGCCTGGAAAGGAAATCTTGCATCCTCCCATCTGCTGCTCCCCTTTCACTCCGTGTCTATCGCTCAGAAGATGCCAGAACTCAAAAGTGATGCTAAAAAGCCGAGGAGTCTTGGGGGAAAACGGGAAGGAAAAAGGGGGAAAAGGAATAAAACAAACGGGAAGGGCAATGAAAATGCATCAAAAGCCACTGAGGTGGGAAAGGCTCCTGAGGTGGGGATGGAGAAGCCTCTGCTGCTGGCTTTGTTCTGCCCCAGATTGAGGCCTGGGGGTGGGATGGGGTCCGGCGCCCAGGGCTGGGGGCTTCTCCATCCCCAAGCAGCGCGGTTCGGATTCGCACATCTGTGTAAACGCAGGGGGTGCTCCTCGCTTCCCCCCTTTTTTCCAACAATCTACCAAAAAAAATCTCATTGCTGCAGCTTATCTCTGCGTAATGCTGGTGGATCCGTGAATTCGAGGAAAGGCTGGCGGCCCCAGGACGCTGCCCCAAGCTCTCACCTGGAGTTTTGGGGGAAAAGCCCGTGGTTTTAGGTTCGACCTTCGTGTGCCCATCCGACAGCATCGTTTGCCAAAGGTTTGAGTTTGTTGGGTTTTGTGGTTTGGGTTTTTTTTTCGATGCTGGTGCGTTGGAGAGGAGCACATCCATACAGTGCAAAGGACAGAGGAGTACTGCTTCAAACTGGGACGAAAAGGGGGAAAAAAGCCAAAATACCAACAAAAAATCACAACCGAAACCAACGCGCGGCGTTTCACCAAAAGAACGCGGTCAACCCGAAAAGGCATGACACGAAAATAAACAACAGTGAGAGTCTAAACCTTAACACTGGGTAGAACGAAGTGGAGAACGAAGCGCACGTTTCCTTCTGTTTCCCCTTGGAGTGCAGTGGAGCGCCGGGGTCGGAATCGGGATTTTGGCAGTGCTCACAGGAAAGGGGCTGGAGAGGCTGGAGCCACCGCGGGTCAGAGCAGCGCAGCTCCACGTGCAGATATTCAGCTTTGCCCATGGGTTTTTGTCCTTCTTGGGGCGGGCTCCTGTGGGCTTCCATGGGTTTTTGTCTTTGGGGGTGGTTTCCTTCACTTTTTGTCTCCTTGGGATGGGTTTCCATGGGTGTTTGTCTTCCTGAGGTGGTTTCCACGGACTTTTGCTTTCTTGGGGTGGGTTTCTGTGTTTTTTGTTTTCTTCAGCTGGGTTTCCATGAGTTTTCTTAGAATCACAGCACAGCTTGGGTTCAAAGGGACCTCAAGGACCATTAAATCCCAAGCCAGGGCTGCCCATGCTCAATCACACCATAGATAAGGTTGCCCAACCATTCAACCTAGCATTAAATACCTCCAAAGTCTTCTCGAAGAGTCAGAATGGCTTCTGAGCCCCACACGGATGTTCCATCCCCATCACCAACGTCGAGCACGAGCGACGGAGCAGGAAAACCCCTCAAAGAAACCTCAGCATCTCCATCAGAGGGCTCTGCTTACAACGATCCCAGAGCACCTCCTAAAGCACGAAGTCGTAACTCCGTTCACGTCGAAGGAAATGAAGAAATACTGTTTGCAGACCCCACGCTCTTCGTGCACGGGATCGACTCGGCTTCTCGGCTTCGACGCGTCAACACGGCTGGAAACCACAGCCTTGGGACCAGGGGTAAAGGGTTGGCCTTTTCTTTTGGCGTCTGGTTGTGGCTCTCTCTGGTGGAAACCCAAATCCTCAGCATGGAGAGCTCCCAAACGCAACCCGAGGGCCGGGCAAGTGCTTCACACAGCGGCGCCGCTCGGAGCGCCGCCACTTATTGCTAAATCGCGCGCGATGGAGGCGATGGGACCAAGCAGCGCTTCTAGAAAACAATGAGGCATCTCGTTTGTTTTGTGCTAAAGGGATGGAGATAATCTTTGTTCATCTCTCCGAGGTAGAAAAAAAATTGTCCCAGAGACAAGAAGCGCCAAGGCCGTCCTAAGACACGCGGCCGTAACGCGGGAGGGCACAGCGCGAGGACAGCACCATTTGGTTTTGAGGCATTCCAGGAACTTCCAGAGCTGGAGATGTCCATCCCGAGGCTGCCGGGAGGAGCAGAGCCTTTTGCTTTGCAGGAGGGGTCCATTGCTACCCTGAATTTTTAGAGTCGGCGGAGGGAAGGCCACCGACTGACGCTCCGTTGCAGACCTCCCTCTGCTTTCTGCCTGCTCCAAGCTACCAACAAGGCTGGGTCTCATCCTCACAATGCATATTTGGGCCCTGGTGCTGATTGTTAGTGGACAAACACTACAAAGATCCGGAATAGCGAGCGGTAACAGCAAGGCAAAGGAAAGCTGAGCTCACCCAGCACTGCTGTTACCGCTGCGATATTCCTGGGCGCACCAAAATGGGGCTGGAATGTTTGGTCTCGCTGAGATGAGCTTCCCGACGGGGCGAGAAGCGAGTGGGCACGATGGGCTGCCAGGGAGAAGCTCAGCACCCACAGCCCTGCGTGGGACTGGGGCAAAGCAGACTTCGTGTCAGCGGCACAAGGGAACGGCGGGACGGTCTGGTTCGCTACCAACCAGGAAAGAGTGGCGGGTGGAAGAGCTGCGGGGTCTGATCCTTAGAGAGCGGGGCACAGCTTGTGAGCACTCTGCACCTTGGCCCTCCGCACGCCCGAGCTGGCGTAGCCCTCGTCGCTGCACACGCTCTGCAGGCTGCCGCGCTCATCCGAGTCGCTGGGGCTGCTGCTGCTCCAGTCGAGGTCTGCGGGCAGGGAGTCGGTGCTCTCCACGTCCACGTCGATCTCTTCTGCAAGCAGAAAGCAAACAGCATCACCAGGAGCTCAGCAGGGCCTCCAAACACTGCGCACAGGCGTGCAGGTCTCACCTCTGTCTGAGTCGGAGCGCTCCGAGGACACGGCTGAGCCGACGCTGTCGGTGCGGATCCTCTCACTGCCCAACTTCTCCAGCTGCCTCTTCAGGTGCCGCTGCTCGCGCTGCAGCTGCTCGATCTGGTGGAGGGCTTTCCTGTCGTAGTCCTCGAGCTTCTGCAGAGGGGGGGAAACGGGTTGAAGAGACTTCAAAGGTCACAGAATCGTGGAATCACGGCATGGTTGGGGTGGAAGGGACCTTAAAGATCAGAGAATTGTGGAATCACTGCATGGTTGGGGTGGAAGGGACCTTAAAGATCAGAGAATCATGGAAT